AGGTTACTATGAATTTATTTTGTGGAGAATTCTGATTTCATAGTTCACACTGAACTGTGGGTAAAATTCTTTCCATAAATCACATTATTACTCTCCCAATGCTAAAGCTTTAGATGAGTGTATTGAGAAACCTAGTCAGGATGGGAAAGCGTGTGAATCCAGCTGCTCAGAAGACAAATTTGTTCCTTCAATCAGCACGGATTGGCCAGCTAAAATGATTGCACCTCCTTGACTGCATGGGAAAAGTCTAATATTGCTTCATGGTTTTAAGTTTTACAGGAAGGTGGTCTAAATTAAGGGTATCATAAAGTTTCTACTAAGCTTTTTTTAATGAGAAATTGTTAAAAGAGAAGAACTTTTTTGGTCTATTTATACTTTATTGGATCCTATACAAATACAAAATAATTGACAGTCACTTTTTCAGAGGAATAAATAGTTAATTTTCTTGTTTTTTTCTTCTCACAAATGTTGTTTTCTTTGGTCTTCCTGCTAAGTCACTTGGCCTAAGATCAGGAAATGTGTGTGGAAGACATTTTTTAAACTGGGCCTTTCATCAAAAACACCTTAAGGAGGAAATAAGGTTCCAGGTTACAACTTACACTAAACATTATAGTTATAATCCAAAGGAGAGATTTAGTGATGCCACTTGTTGATTGCAGTCTTCATAAGTCTACTTTCTGCTCTGAGACACTTTCAGATTTGTTACAAGCAGTATTCCCTGTTTGTCTGTCCCTTGACACTGTGGTGCTCCCTGTTAAGCTTCTGTGAGGAACTGATCTTGGCTTCTTGAGGTGATACTTCCCTTTCCCTCCCTTTCTCTCTCCCCCCCACTTTTTATTTTTAAATTTAATATTGCTGAGGTGAGGCAGAAATACTTCCATGCTTTTGGAAATTGTGATTCACCTGTGCAATTTGAAAAAAGGAATCATCCAACTGACTTGGACAGGAAAACAGTGAGGAATTATTGAGACACTGCAGGTAATTTAATTAAAAATAGGATTTTTATGAGCACTGTTAATGTGTGCTACCTCAGCTAACCTGACAATAAAGGTTTTGCATGCTACAACGACATCTGGCACAGAATCACATGTAGGAATTATGCAGAGGCAATAAAAGGCACTTAATTAGCATTGCAAATAGTATTCTAACATTTATGAGATGTCTGCAAATTTGCATACAGATACGTAATTACATAATTTGCAGCTGTTGTGTTTGTTCCTTAAGACCTTGCCACTTTATTAGTAGAATATGTAAATCAGGAATTAATTCCTTTCATCATCTACTTTCTTAGTAGTCCATAAATATGTGGCAATTCATGAGAACTTGGTACAGCTCGTTTATCTGGACCTTCTCATCTTGTCTCAGAATGGTGTTAAAACAAAACTGTATTCCTTGGCTTACTTTGCTCTAGCAGTCAATGTGCTTAAAGAGGTTTTAAAGCACATCTAAAGAGGTTTTGAGCACATCTCATTTATTATCATTTTTTTCTCCCCATTCATCTCTGAAATCTTAGTTTGTGGGGTCACACTGCAAACGTCTTTTGGTTTATTCTCTTCTAGATTTAAAGAGTTTTAAGTAAATATTAGTACTTTCTGATAGCGAGTTTTCTTGTGCTATAAGTAAACAGAGAAGGCTGGGATGGAAGGATATCTGACCAAATAAGAGTGCTGTATAGGTAGCTTATTTAATTCAACATGAACCTGGGGAATTTGCCTAAAAAAAAAAAAGAAAATTGGACCAAATACTTAGCTAGAGGAAATATTGCCCAATATATGTGAGCAATAGATTTCTCTGCCTGAATAACCTTGGACAATTTTCACCTCTGTGCCAATGGAGAAGGACATGAAAAACATTTATCCAAACCAGCTTTCTTGAAATGTATTTGAATATTTGCTTCTATATAGTGTTAGCTGTATGAATACTTCTGTAGCACCTTTCTTGTATTTGGCTCAGGGATGGCTTGCAGAGATCCAGTGAGATAACAAAAGTTGGTTCTGGCTGCAGATTCTGAACACTCTGTTAAGCTAACGGAAGTAAGGAATAGAGAAAAAATAAGTTAATTATTTTTATTTTTTTAACATGCTTTTCCTTGTGTGTTTTGACAGTGCTTTTACAATAATCATGGCATTGTCCCTTCCATCTAATGGAAGTTTCCCTTTATGCTTGGGCCCTTTCAAGAAAGAAGTTCAAAGCAACAAGGGAGTTCAAAGCAGGAGGAAAGAAAAGCATTTTAGAAAACTGTGATTGTGTTCTCCCCCATGGAGAACTTAGAGACAACAAAGTTAATTTGTATTTGGAAATAGACTGGATTGCGGACTGTCAGTTCCTTTAGCACTCTTTCAATGGATAAAAGTGTTTTACAGTAATGTAGCCTGAAGTGTATTTTTGTTTATTGAGTATGTAATGACTTCTCATTACTTTATCTTGTAATCTAAATGACGTGTGCTAAATGACAATCTGTTTATACAATAAGTATAATTAACAATGAATATATCCTTATGAGTTTTGTTGCTGCATTGCCTTGGTATGATAATGGGAATTGAAAATGAAATCTTTCTGACCAGAATAACTGATCTGCCTTATAGATGTTTCCAGTGATGGTTTTTATGGAGGGAAGGAGGTTGTAGTAACTGAAAGAATAAAATAATAAGCTTGCATAAATGCACAAAGCAAAGAAAGGAGCAACAGACGTTTCTTTTCATATAAACCGAGTGGGTGAGCACAAGGGTGTCGTTCTCTTTGCTGACTGCTCCAGCAGTGTTGTTGCTGGTAGCAGCTCTGCTGAAAATAGAAAGAATGAACACAAGACCTGGCTTCATCTTGCTGTAGCTAGTCCTGGTTTACTACAGTTCATCTTTTCTTTTTTGAGGGGAGTTTGTTAAAGGATGAGTTGGCATCGACAGTACAGATGGTTCTGAGCTTTCTCTGCAGTACTAACTGCAGAATGGAGAGCTGGGGGATCCAAATTCAGAGACTAAATCCTTATGACTCAAGGCTAGCACAGCCTAAATGGTCTAGGCTTGCTACCAGACAGACGTAGATGGAGAATGTGTCTTAGCTCAGTGCCTAATTTGCTTCTGAATACAAGCTGCTAAGGCTGTGTGGTGTCACACTAGGCCTCTGTTTTGTGGTAGAGAGATCTGTAATAACACAGAGATACTATCATTCACCCAGCAGTACAAATATACTACACTTTTTTTTCAGGACCTTATGACACTTAAGTGAACAAAGAGAATTTCCTTGAAGTGAGGTGTCTTTGTGGTAGCATGGATGTCCTCTCCCTTCCTTCACCTTTGCAGCTGCTGCCTGTGTGCACAAAGCTGGGTCGAGCAGGTGGCACGGCAAGTCTCTGACCTGCTTTCCCTCGTCTCTGTTGTCAGATCTGTTGCAGCCCCCAGGTTTACTGGTATAAATTGGAGGTGCCTGTAGGCAGTATCAGTGGTGGCACAGCTCTGAGAAGCTGAGGAGAAGAGCTGAAATGCTGGCATTGTCACTTGTCCTGCTGGCCCTCCTGACCTGGCTTGAGCTCTGGTGCCTTTTGTGAGGATTCTGTGTGCTAAATTTTAAATCACCTATAAAGATTATTTAAAGAAGGACAGGGAGCGACACAGTGTCACGGAGAGGGAATTGTACAAAGTAATGGAGTTTGAGAACATGGCAAACTACCTGGGCAGGGGCTGACTTTGTATCAGCCTGTTGTACAGACCTGAGGACAGAGGCCTCAGTCACGGCTGGGGTCTCCGAGCTGCTGCTTTGATGCAAAGACAAGGCCAGGAACATTCAGTGATGAATCCGTGTGGCTGCCCTTTTTCATGTGAGATATAAATCCTGCAGCTCCGGATGGATGACGATTAAGGTTTTATTTCATCTTATAATGGTATTTCTGCTTTTGTTTTCTGGTTCTTATAGCTAGAGCTACTAATAGGCACAGTGACATGGGATGTTCCCTTGAACTAAAAGGTCCACGACATTTTTTCTCCTAATTAAGCTATGTGTTTCTAAGGCATACAGCAGAGTTTTCTCTCTTTAAAAGGCATGGGAGTTCCTAGTGTTTTAATCCAGTGTCTGAAGTTTTTTACGTCTTGAAAGAGATTCTTTTGAAGATGATAACTGATTTTTTTTTGCCAGTGCCATGCCACATCCCAAATCTAGGACAAAGCAATTAGAAACACATGTCTTTTGTCAGCTGAAAAAGCCTAGCACAACGGAGTGGATGTGTCTGGAAACTTAGGCTTTTGCAGACAGTAGGCTGAGGAGAGAAATCAGTGATACATTCCGTCTGCAATGCTAGGGCCAGACAGGAGGTGACTCAACCTGTGACCAGATGCCTTCCTTTCTAAGGGCTGTAGAAATTTCAGCTTCACAGTGGTCTGTCTTGGTCTAGCTCTGGCTTTTTTTTTTTTTTTTTTCCCCTGGATGTTCCCATGTTATTAATAGTAAAGGAAAGAATCTACACAAAATCATTCTTTACTGAGCTGATGAAAAGAAACTGTAGTTACGTATGTTTCTGTGGCAGTTGGCATGGTCCTGGTCTTGTCTGTCATCTCTAGATACCCTTCTTATATGAAACACTGAACTCCTGCTGTGCGAGCCAAAGAAATAATTTCCTTCCTTTTAGTCAAGAGTAGATAGTGGAGAAATTCCACTATCAATTTAATTCATCAGCTTCAGTGGCTGTATTTCAAATTTAATAGTTTTCAAATATATTTCTAATTTGCTGCTAAGAAAATTAAAATAGAATTCACAAATGCCTTGCCAAAGGCAGTGTTCAATACAAACTAATCTGCAGCTCAGGAAGGGATTCAATTTTTTTTTGTCCATAACTGCACATAATTAGTGTGTCTGCAACAAGCATGTAATTTTTATTATCTGTAAAGAGTTTGGCAGAGGGAATACATCATTACCTGCACATCTAATAATGTGCAGTGCTACAATTCATTTTCTGAGACGCCATGCGTACTGAAGAAAAGTATTGACTTTATCTTTTTCTTTTTTTATAGGCATAGTAGAAGCCTAGCAGTCTGAAGCAGATAAAAAAATAAGAATGAGCAATATGTTGGAATGACAATTATATAAACAATGAACATTAGTGCACAACAACATAATCAAGTCCCAAGGTCCAATGAATAGCTGCATGCTTCAAAGACTCTGGGCATGTCAGGCAACAAAAAAGTACACTCCGGTCACCATCCAGCAACCTTGAATATGGATCTGTAAGTGTTTTTATGCATATACATTTAAAATAGCATAAATGAATGGCAAAAGACCCAGCCATGAGTAAATATAGCATTGCTTTTTACTGTTGACCTTTGAGCCTAAATCATATAGTCTCTTAAATGTGTAATTTTACTATGAAATGGGATAAGCTATATTGTTAACTTATGGATGTAACTGCGGATAGAATTTTATATTCCTTTTATCTGAAGGGAAAATGACATTTTTGCTGTTGCTGTTCTTAGTTTATTTTAAAGCATTTCTTTCCCACATATGGCTCTGAATATGAAAAAGAGCAGAGGGAAGAAAATGTTCTAAAAATAAATTGTGTGAAAAGGACATTTCTATGAAAGGAAATTCTCTAGATAAATACTTAGAGGTGAAATACTAAAGGCTCTTCAGTAAATAAATATTCCATTACAAACCTTGGAGCTGGAAGTACCTTCTTCAGGTAAGGACATTCAGTCAGTCTGATCGTATCTTCAGGAGACCACTGGTGGAAACCAGTCTTCATTGCTGGGGGAAAGTTGATTTCTCCCATAGAGAAATCTGCAGAATCTAAGGTAATGGTCTAAGGTAATGTAATTCTTTTGGGTTGCTAAAAGTGCGTTTAGTTCATCAACCAATTTCTGCACAGTTATCATATTATGAATGCAATCACAAAGTGGGAAATTCCCTCTTCTGTCTTAATGGATGCTAAAATAGTATTTCATGGCTTATAGGGGTACCAAAAAGACAAAAAAAAAATTTATCTAGTCTAGTTAGATGAATTGGCCACTTCCTTCTATGATTGTCAATGGGTACAGCTTTAGACTTTTAGATTTTCCAGATGTGTAAATGATCTCAGCATTTCAGACAGAGAATGTCGATGTTCCACTGAGTATATGCATGAAGATGACTGTTAATATATATATTATAATTTCTTTGGTTTGGGTATTTTTTATGAAATCTGCTCATGTAAGAAAAAAAGAGAGCACGTATAATAGTATTGTAAAATAAATATCCTCTTTATCATCATACACTGAAAGCTTTAAAATTAAAGCATTATGCAGAGTTTGAGATAGAATAAACCTTCTTTCATGAAAATATCCATTATGCCCATAGGAAAATATTAACTGTCCAAAATTCTCCATTGATTTTTGCTGTATGTGTACATTTTTATTCCTTTATTAGGACTTTCATTCTTCTTTATAATACATACATATTATTTTATTACTGGTATTACTTGGGACTAATACTATGAAGAAATGTTTTTGCTCCGATTTTTAGGAATATCAGTTGTAATGTCTAAGCAACCTGATTTTTACAGACTGAATATCTTAAATCAGGAATTAAAAAAAATTACAACACTACAAATAGTGATCTGCTATGTAAAGTCATTGCCTTAATTCTTTTTTCTATTTATTCTTTCAAATTTTTGCTTTCCTTTTCATTAACTGCCAATATTTTTCAAGCTTTCTCAGGAACTGCAATTATGCTTAGGATGTGAAGATATAAATAATATTAAACCTATGTTTATTAAAACTAAAAAAATAATAATTCTATGGAGCCTCGCCATTCTATTTTTAATACTTTTTTATTTGCCCAGTTGATGCAGTAATGCATGAAGATTAAAAAATTAAACATCTTTTCACTAAAGAAAACCACTACATACTGATATTTTACCAAGGGAAGTTCCAGAACATTACAGTTGCTAAAGCCTTACATATAACTATTTTTTTCTATAATTAACTGTCATTTATAAATAATTAGGTACTAGATAAATTTCAATGACTCCAGAAGGTACATTTTTATCTGAACTTGCAATTTCATTACCTGAAAGGGGAGCAATTATTTTGAGGCTTTTGATCAAACACGGTGCCTGAAATCAGCTGTTATTTCAGAAACAGTAACTACTGGTAAAACCCCTCAGTCAAAACTGAAATTCAGGGAGCTATTCAGTGAGATAAACTGCAAAATTACAACCCATTCCTCTGAGATTCTATGCACCAACAGTTAGCCTTAAGTGATTCAATCATGGCTAATTACATATTATCACTCCTGATCTTTAACATTTCAATCAACCTTTAGTTGTGCTGTTTATATATAATTTGTCTCTGTTTATGGTTTTATGTGATCATTATGCCAACCTTCATTTAATTAAAACTGGAGTGGTGGAGGCTTTGCTGCATCATTCTTATCTTTTAGATACTTTGGTGTAGAAATTACCTCTGGACTTGAATGTTGAGAAGTGCTGACAGCATGACTTAAAGGCTGTTCAGCATGTGAACATATGTATATGTATAAAGATCCTGTGTGGCCAATGCAAAATGATCATCTTCCAATGGTTTTATGATTTGGCTAACAAAATATTTTTAACATTTTTACACAAAGGCTATTTAAGATATTCCTATCTTTTTTTTGTGTCCTCCGCTTCTGTTTTGGCTCAGCAGCCTCTCTTTTCAGCTGCCTCTCTGTAGTTAGCTGTCTTTCACTGGACTGATGAGAAGGACAGAGGGCAAAGCAAACATCTCTGCTTGCCAAATACGACCAGTTGGATTGGGCAACCTGGAGTAGAGTGAAGTGCTGAAATACATAATGTAATTATGACCAGCAATATTGCAGCTGCACACTGTTCAGTTATACCAGCCTGACGCTGCAGTCAAGCTTATGATACATACTGAAAGGAAGGGTTTGCTAGCTTGCATGATACTAGCTCAGTGCTAGTGTGACTGCTCTTCCTGGGTTCTAGGAAAAGGTTATACTGTGCTTCCCTGTCTCTGAGACATGCTCCTCTCTGTGCAGCCAGCTCTGGGATCAGTGGATCATCTTCACTCTGTGGAGCAGATATACCCTTAGCATCCCTTAAGCCATCAAATCTGTGGCTGTGAATCAAAAATTTAGAGTCCTCATATTGTATGCGGGAAGAGCTAGATACCACAGAGCAGCACTGATAGGAGCCAGTAATGGAAGGAGGGATTTTCAAAATGTGTTCACCCCGGATGTCTGATTCTTTTGGTTCTCTGACTGGTGGATTGGAGTAGGGCACCTTCTTGCACTTGGGAGTCTTCAGACAAGAAAACTCTTGGAATTAAACTTTAAAGGCATGCCTGCTTTTTCAGAAAAATCAGGTCTGTAGAGACCCCAACTTTCCTCTTCCTTGTGACCTCTTTTAGTTCACTCTTCACTTTGTGCAGGTGGTATCCTTCCCCTTCCAAAACAGTGGCACACTTGCACACTTCTTTCAGTGAAGCTGACAGATACCAAAACTTAAATGTATCGGGTGAATGTTGATGGGTTGAGAGTGAGATAGATGTGCCCAGCCTATTCTGGTGTTGTAGAGGGGCCTCTAGACTGTTGGTTTGTGCCACAGCCTTGCACGACTTATTCAGGGTGGGAGGGATGCTTTTAAAACACCAGACGGTAAAAATAGAACAATTTAGAAACCAGGGGGTAATACATAGGCATGAGACACCTGAACTGTAATTTTCTGTTTGATTTCAAACATTTTTATGTTTGTGAGTACAAAGCTGGCTTGTGAAAATTCTAGACAGAAAAGTGATGAGTGGGTGGGGAGGAAACACTGTTCCTGGCAGCATGCAAAGCTAATAATGCAAACAACAGTGCAGCTTGAGCTACTTCTATGCAGCACTCTCCTGTTCTTTGTGAACTTGTGGTTTGGATCTCTGCTGGTTTAGGGATCACTGTGCTACACTCCACTTCATGATGCAGATGAGCTGCCAGGATTGCCTGTCTGCCTAAATCCTGTCTGAGGTGTCTTTGTAAAACACTGAGACTATACCTAGAGCCAAACTTTTGTTTTAAACCACTTTTAGCATCTTCTGAATGTTAACCACAGTCTGAATGAATGACTCCCAGCTGTGAATGTATCGACTGCAAAACAAACCCTGAAGTCATTCACTGCAAGTTTCAGACAGAATCAAACAGAAGTTTAGTTGTGGCAAAACAAAACAAGTAAAAACTGTTTACAGTTTTCTTACTGCAAAGATCTGCAAAGATGACCTCCCACAGGGGTTCAAAGCCATGGTCCTTAATCCATGTTTATGTAGTTGAGTTCATTGGCATTGATTTTCGGAAATCTCAAAACGTCGGCTCTCATGGGAATGGCTGAGTACTGAACATTTACAGATACACTCTATAATACAGATTTTTGATGATAGGTGTGATATCCTGTAAGAAAAAATGGCCTATATTTTTGCCATTTTTGACCAAGAAATTATAAAGTGTAAATAGTAAATATGAACAATGTAAATGCAAGCATAAAGTATTACTGTGCAATTACTGTTGGAAACATTTCTGTTAATACTTGGGGCAGCAACACAAAATGCTTTCTCCTTGGATGAAATGCTTTCTCAGGAACTCCTGAGAGTTGTTCTATAGTTCCTGAGGTTGTTCTAAAAACAATCTGTTTTGACCTCATGATCAAAGAAGCTTTGGCCATACTTTGAAGGGAAGGCAAGAGGAAAGGGACTCCTTTCTCTCACGTAGGTCTCTTGGGTGAGAAGGAGAAGACGAATGCTTGGAAAGAAGACTGTATTTTAGTTTGAATGATAAATTTTGAAGTTTTATGACTGAAGATATTTTTTTCCTTTTATGTTACTTTTGTAAAACTTCAATTAGCAGGAATAATTTAGGTAATGCACAAAGTACATTCAAATGTTGTCCTTATTTGAGTAACCCTTTTTGCTATGCTTCATTTTTCCAAGTATTAGTTCAAATCTGGACAAGACCGACTGAATGTCTTTGGTGATAAGTCCCTGCATGGCTAAGAAATGAATGCCTTTCAGTTTGGTCTTGTTCACTCAGTGATCTGCTGGAGGCAATTATGGAATTTTTGGATCTGACCTAGAATTTTTCTCTACTAAAGTGTAATAGGCCACATTACTGCTGGAGATTTTAAGTGCCTCTGCTCTAAACAGGCAGCCTCAACACTGATAAACTCTCTGTCTCAGATGAAGGGAGGCAATTTTTCAATTTTCCATTTATTACTCTCTCAAACATTTCTGTAAGACTAAAATTATTAAGAAAACTATGGTAATACAATTACGGTGTAATTGCAGTCACATTTCATAATGAAAGAGGCATTTTCTTTATCAAACATGACACAAATTGCTCATTTTGTGTGTATGTGTATGGGAGGGGGGGTTGTTAGGGGGAGTAGGGGTTCTCTGTGGAAGATGAATATTTGTATGCATTCTGGAAAAGATACAAATTCATGATTACATCTTATCAGTGGTTATTCACAGGATGGTGTGGCTACCATCTTTCTCTTGTTTGCCAGACATTGTTATACCAGAGGAAGAACCAATCCACACATGGCTTGCACCACATAGCTTTCCTCTAAGCATCCACAACTCAGTATATCCAGGGAAAAGATCCTAGGCTTTTGGAGTTTTTAAAAGATGTGCATGCCCATGTTGCTGCTTTTCTTTTTACAAAAGAAGCATTAAAGTAAATGTTAAAAATGTGTATGTCAGAATTGATTTTTGTACCTCAGAATAACTATTTTGCAGGAATTGGAAAGCACTTCAATAAAAATTTAGAAAACATTTTTACTGGCAGGAAGTCACCTGTCCAAGAATTACTGTCATGTCCAACTCTTTCTGTATTAAAAACAAATGTTCCATGGCATTTCACTACACAGCTCACACACCTTATCTAGATGTAATTTCTAACAGATTCCCACTTGCTCTGCAAACATAAGTTTGCAGGTACTCACTTGCTTACCCCAAGAGGCAGTTTTATAAGTGAATGAAAATCAGTTCAAACCAAACTATTTTTTCCATCACTTTATACCTTAGCAAACTGATACTGACTAAATGGGATGAAGTTAATGCAGACTGTTTACAATGTATGGCACCTCTTTTCCCATCTCTATATATTCTATCAATATCTCTTTTTAAAATGTAATATCTCTCTTTTTAATGTAGTTTGTTATCCAAAGTTTAAAAATTATTTGTTTCCTCAATAAGGTGCACGCGAGGATAAATCCAAGAGCTGGCGAAATGTGACAGTTAATATTCATCTTCAGTATTTCTGAAAATGTATTACTTGAGCAGCCAAGTGCATATTACCTGCAAAAATATATATGCATAATCTAGTATTAATAATTGTAAAATATTGAAGATCAAATTATGGCTGCCCTGCTGCAGTTTTGCTATGATTTGAATGGCCAGTAGAAAGCTCTACATGTTTCTTGTATAATTGGGAAGCACAGTATGTTACCTGCATTTCTTTAGCTTAGGGAGCTTTGGCCAAGCATACTGGAAAGAAAACAAACCTGGCCTAAGCTCTGTTCACATAAAAATAGTAGTTTAGAGATGGAGGGCTGAACAAGCACAAAACACTGCTTTTCAGAAGTTATTTTAACACCTCAAAAATGTATGTGTTACAGGATCTAGTATCTTTTTTTTTTTTTTTTTTTAACTAGAAAATCTTTTTTATCTATTGCTTGCTTTCTGTATTCCAACATTCTTTATTATATAGCCCATTTCATTTACATA